CGACCCTTGCGAAAGTTGCTTAACGACAACGATCGCGGGCCGCGGCGCTTATCCACTACGCCAACGAGCTACGCGTTAGTATGTTTACCTAATAATATTAAAATAGTTAAATAGAACAATTACATACTCCTTTTTATCGGGTTATCGAAATTATATCTATCGAAATTAAGCATGAATTATATAATATTTCTAACACAACGAATTTTCAAAAACTGACCTTTCATAAAGAGCATATTGGATTACTCAAAATTTCAAATTACGAAAAATCTATAATAAAAATAAATAATGTTGAAGATCAAAGACAAAAAGTTTGCATGCGGAATACTAGGACCAAATAAACGGTGGTGCGACGCACCGTTAGGGCGCTTGTGCACTACACTGAATTTTCATGTCCGGCGGTCCGATTTTTTCAGGTCCGATATGTCAGGCCATATGTAGGTAATGCGCGCTTGTGCACTGTCAGGAATTTTACCGTCCGGAATTTTACTTTTCTCTATTCCGGACCGGTTTTTTCAGGTCCGTGATGGCGGCAATGAAAAACGTGTTTACGCTTGTGCACTGCTGTGTCCGAGATCCGGAAAATTCATAAGGAATAGGCTTGGGAAAAAATAATCGATTTGAATCGATATTTATTTCGGCAATATTGTTAATTTCCAATAAACTTATAATCGATATTTATTGTTGATTATAAAATGCTATATTTTATATGATGATTTAATATAGTTGGTATATATCACTGCATATGCTTTGGCAAACTCGGTATAGTTCTAATTTGATCAGCGTATGGTTCTAGTATCGATACTTAGCTAGATTTTAGAATCGTATTAAAAGTATCGATAGCTTAAGGTAAGATAAATAAGTGTTGTTACGCTTTAACAACTGAACCCATCTAAATGGAAATTAATATAGTAAATAGACTTAACTTTAAGAAAGGACATAGGCTACATTTTATCGCGAAAAATAGGGGATGAAAGTTTGCCTGGAAATTTGTCATTATCAAATTTTTTTTAGACAATTGATAAGTATAGATAAATATTTGACAACAGAAGTAATAATAAAGAATAAACAGAAGATTAACAAAAGTAATTAAGTGACACTCAATGTCTTTTTCGCATTTAATAAAATTTTAAATGTATGTTTGTGTCATTAATAAATTTAAAAAAAAGTATTCTAAGGGAATAATATTTCTGCTCAAAGAAACTACACCACGCGTATAAAATTATGCCTATATATAATACAGTCAACTGATCTCGTAAAGTTCATTTAGCATAATAATTCTCCGCTAACACGGCACTAATTTCGATTTGTTTACGAAATGGCGCCACCGATTGGTCTATCTCTGTAATCGCTGAAAGTTGTTTTTACAAAACTTCGAAAAAAAATAGCACGTTTAAAAATTTAAACATCAAGTACTAGACCATTATCAGTAATTTTATTCTGATGTCACAGATATTTGTAGCTATTGTATGTGAATAATGTTGTTCCTAAATTAGTAAGGGTATAAGTTTTTACATCTGATAGTAGTCATCCGATAGTAGTAAAAAAAATGCTTTCGTCTTGCCATAATTTATTATGGTTTATGTAAAACGATCAGATCATTATTTAGGTACCTTTCTACGTCTTCGAATGGAATTACCAACGTTCCAAAAATCTCATCGTACCTAGCGTAAGTGACGTGTAGCTTCAAAGAGAGCTGCCCTACACTGCGCCGCTCCGATCAGGAAAAAAACGGACAAGTGCACAAGCTACTCATCCGAGTTTTTCATGTAATTCCGGACCGGAAAAAATCGGACCGCCGGACCTGAAAATTCAGTGTAGTGCACAAGCGCCCTTACACCCCTAGCTAACTGGGCTAATGAAAAATAAATCAGAAAACATATGTATTTGGATGGAATCATCGCACAAGACTGAGTATTACTCGGTCAGGGTTCCGTACCCAAACGGTAAAACGGGATCATGCTACTAGGACTCCGCCCGCCGTCCGTCTGTCACCAGACTATATCTCATGAAGCGTCAGAGCTAGACAGTTGAAATTTTCACAGTTGATGTATTTCTGTTGCCACTATAACAACAAATACTAAAACCAGAATAAAATAAACAATTTTGAGGGGCTCCCATACGACAACCGCTTTGACTTCATAGATAATGAATCCTTCATGCTCAAGTGACACTTGCACGAAGATGATGAGAAGAATAGAAACATAAAATTTATGTTTCTAGTTCTTCTAAATTTGTTTGTAACTATACCATTACATCATGCCATTACCGTAACGGGAACATACCCTTTTTACCCGACTGCGCGACGCAAAGGAGGGTAATGTGTTTATCAGTCTATGTATGTATGTTTGTTTCTATGTGGCGTTTTAGAGACCATTCAAATTTTACCAATCAAACCTTCCCAAGAGGCCCCGACTGTGAGTCGTTCTGTTCTGTATTACTTAACAGAATTCTAAACTACTGGGCTTGTTTCTTTCTTCTAAGTTTTTATTTAAGTTAATTTTTTCATGTATTTTTTTAACGAATGCTTTTTACCTACTTAAATGCTTTGTATGGCTTTCGCTTAATATGACATTTTTGTAATTTCCCTTCAATGTCATTATAAATAGCTTTCACTGTATCGCTGTGATCGGAGGTACCTACATTATCTACAACCCATAAGTGAAACCAACTTTGACATTATTTATTTTGGCGTGGTTCCTCGACAGTACGTCAATGGCGTTCGGCGCACAACATGTCAACCTTTACTTCCTAAAAATGGCTAATTTGGAAAGCAAAATTTGGCCGGTTCCGGGTTGGCTAGACTTACCTACTCAAAGGTGATGAAAACTGCTCTTATTCAGTGTTTTACTTGTTTCAATTAAATGATTATATTTTTATTGAATCCAAGAAACATTAACTACCTTACCTTATAACATGTGATCATATTATTTGATCATGTACATGTCGCTGCCAACTGGTTAAAACTGCCGTTCAATTGCACGTCTAGTTTTCTAGTTGAATCATTATGACATTTGGATCATTCAACATGACGGCTGATTTAAAAGCCGCCATAATGTTAATTTAGTTTTGTTATCTGTTAAAAAAATAACCTAATAACTTCGTCGTTTATAATTTTAAGTCGGACTTTTACCTAATTAATGCGCGAGCTAAAAGTGATTTTATCATATAACGTTAAGGAATAGGAATATTCATACTAGGATCACAACGCGCCGGTCTTCGCGTTTTGGCGTTTCCAAGTATGTTTGTGTCTGAGACTTTTAAATAAACGAAACGCGTAGGAAGCCCGAGTCAGCGTCCGGGGTCTTCGTGTCTCGTAGTTTGTATGAGTAACGAGCAAGTCGATACTTCTAATTACTCGATACGCGTTGGACGTCCAATTAAAGGGCTAGCCGCCAAATTGGTCGGCTGATTATACCACTTGGCTGCGACATACACACATATTTAATTACAACGTAAATATTTTTGTTCATTCACCTTGAACATTTCAAACAGTTTTTCAAGCCTTTTTTTCTGATTTCATTATCAAGATAAACATACTAATGCAAACGAAAAACTTCTCAAGATGACAAAAATAGTTTAGGGCAGATCTTCAAATCTGATCATATGTTTTTCATGTCTTTTAACGAATTTAGAGTTTTTGGGGTGGAGGGGGAGAAGAGGGGGGTATTAACCTTCCATCAAAACACCCCCATATTTTTTATTGGAGTTGCAGTTCTATTACTTCGGTAACAAGTCGTATTTAATAAACACCCATTGTGTACCCGGTGCTGTAGTCTCCTTCGTGCCTCTGGGTCACAATGTTGCTAAACAGGGGTGCATCAAACGATTACAACTGCAAGGCGCATAGTCACAGACATTTTGTTTAAACCGATTAAAATGGTGTCATTTTGCATTTCGTTATTCCATACTAAAACACAAATAAGTTTCTATAGCAAATTTTCTTTTAATATGATTATATAAATTTTGTATATTATTTACATGGTTGAAGTATGACACAGGTTCATTTTATTTTGTACTAGTTTTTTTTTTTCTGTATATAAAGTTCCTTTTGTCTCCCAAATAAAAAGTACAACTAAATCAAGCTTGTCAAAAGTGGTTGAGTTTTTCTTAATTTTCATTTTTTTTTTCTAAAATACTATGAAGTTGATGGAAACTTTACACAATTATGCTTTTATTAAAGATATTTTAAACAAAACATTACCAACTTTTAAATTTTGGGGGTTATTGTACAGTTTACCCTTTATTTTACTTTAAACTTGATTATTTGCCAAAATTATGACCATTATTTTTGTGAACCTCAACATATGCTTTGGGAATCTCTTGGATTCTAAGGATCACTCTTTGAGAAACACTGACCTAGGCAAAACTCACAGTTGAGATGAATCAATAAATATAATTAAGGCTTATTTAATAGGTATGTTATAGAATGAAATTATTGAATACCTAAGTATTATAAAAAAGAAAATAATTACAAATGTCTGCAGAACATGGAATAGGTATATATCTAGAAATAGTTGCAATATAAACCTATAAATAGTTTTTTCTGGTCAAGTATTATTTTAATTATAAATAATATTCTTTGCACAGAACTTTTACAATTTTCATTCAAATAAGAATTTACATACTGTAAGAAGTCTCCCTGTCTGAAGTATACTCTGTAAAGATATGTATTGAGATTCAGGTGGAATATCTTAAATGATCAAAAGGATATCAAATAAATATTAAAACAGACCATATTTTTAGTTGTTTAGGAATATTTTTTAATGTTTTGGTAGGTTTTCGTTTTGTGAATAAAAATATTTTTTTATTTCTACAGAATTTTATTCACCCTTGGGAACATGCCCTTTAAAATACAAAAAGCTATTTATCAATATTTCTTTATTTTTGATTGAGAAACATGCATAAAAAGCGTCAAGTATATTTTATAAACTCACGCTTATTAGGACCGTAAAAATAAGAAAAGAGAAAGTATTCAAGGAAGATAAAAAACTGTTACTTACTGTATTGTTGAAGTAGTTTTCTGCATAGCAGAGTCATTTACAGGATCCAATACCCATTTCTCACCTTGGTGCAACCACTCACCACCAAAAGGGCTGTTCCTCTCTTTGTTATGTCGTATACAAAAATATATTTTTCCGTTTGAATATGGTACTGTTACTTCCAATTTTGTAAGCCATTGCGTAGTTTCAATTTCTTTTAACTCGTATTCGTAATGTATTTTATCACAACTAGCACCCCTAACACCACCGTTAGGGGTTAGTCTCCACGAAGAATGGCCAAGAAACTCACCACCACCTACTTCTAGTAAATATTTACAACTATCCTGAACACAATTTATCGATATTATTTTCACTGAAGTTATCCATGGTTCGACACTAATTTCTGGCGAAGCAACCGCCCACAACACAAAATGAAATAATAAGCCACAAGTCCGCATCACTATTTTCACTGGTTCCATTTTTACAAACGGATTTAACGAAAAAAACAATAAAGTATTTTTTTGTTTATTGAAACGACATGTTTTTCACGATTGACAGTTCCGCGGCAATTGCCAAAGAGAAAAAGATTTAGAACCATTTTAGAACACAGTTTCAGTGTTTGACAGATTTTAGCCTTTCTTCTCTATGAATTGAGGGAGTGTGGTCAGATTTGAAATCTATTTTACACGATCTAGCATCTCAATAAATTATACACCAGATTAATATTTATAAAAAAATAATACATTCTGTTGAATAACTTGTGAACAATTAATTTTAAAATTACAAAAACCTTTTTATTTTTACAAGTTGTTTTATTGACAATTAATGATTAAACGACTTACCTGCATACGAAGTGCTTCATCCCAAGATATTAGTAATGATCGAGTAGGATTATAATACCTTCGGCTTTATTTGAAATAATTTTTCTAAGAGACTTAAGTATAATTTGGCCAATATAAGGTAAATAAATCAACATCAATGGCATTAGGATCGGGATGAAAAGATACGTACATATCACACTTTTTATTGATTCGGTTAACGAACAGATCAATTACTTGAATTCCTAACTTTTCTACAACTTTTTTGTAAGTAGTGTTTGTAAGCTCCCACTCTATATCAGAATGGAAACGCCTAGACTCTTTGTCAGCGATGATATTTTTTGCTGATTTAATGTATGAAGCGACTATATATATTTTTCGAACGTCACACCAGTTCCACAAAGCCTTTGTGATGTCATATAAATGTGGAATCTGGAGGCATCCATGCGATTTATATAGCTGACTATGCAGTCACTAGTACTAATGCTAGTATTGTCAATTCTAATCAATATTTGACAAGTGTAACATTTTTTTGCAAATATCTTAACAGCAAAGTAAGCTGCTAATAATTCCAGTTGGTGTATATGGAATTCTTTTTCACTATTAGTCCAACGACCGTTAGCAGTTTGTCCATTACATTTTGTACCCTACCCCGTTGTTGAGGCGTCAGAAGATCTTTCAATTATGAATTTATCATTTCTAATTCTATGTACAGTATGATATATAACACTTATCCACCATTCTAAGTCAGGGAGTAATGTTTGTGATAGTGTCATATATTTCTCATAGTCATTATTACCTATTAAATTAAGATATTTAAACGTTCCAATGAGGAAGTATTTAAAATAAAATAAAGAAACTACAAAAAATTATGTCACTAGATGGCAGCACAAATAGTTGGATCTAAACGTCAAATTCATGACGTTAAACTAAAGAGAATAGAATTGTCAGTGTTGTTATGGATCTGATAACTCGGATTAATATCGAGTAGTAATTTAATTAGTTTGAGTTATGCACATGTAACTCGATTGATACAAAGTAATCTTTGAATAAATTTATTTTTTATTTGTATAGAGGAAAATGGAGACTAACAAAATGGAAGTGAGCACAGAGGTTTTTTTTTAATTTATGGAAGCCAATTGAATTAATGCTGTGTTATAATTAAAAGTGGCATTTAGCTACGGTGTACAATAATATTACCGCCAAATAGTTTTTATAAATAAAATGCTTATGCCATAGTAGGTCTAGGAATTTTTCATTATAATATCTAACAAAAGTTCTGAAAACAATAATAACTAGGTAAATTAGTTTTATTGCTATTAGTTGTTTGTTGAACTTACAACAACAAAACTACATCAAGTCTCAAACATATTTATATATTATATATAGTGAATGAATGAAGAGGGTTTATTAATCAGCAACAAAAGTCATAAAAACGATAATTATAATAAAAATACGTTAATTATCTATATACTTACCCAATACAAATATACTAGGTATTCGTACAAAATAACATGACTTCTGGCTAAAATGACGTTTGTGCTAAGTGAAACGTGCAAATAACTTGTGCTTTCGAAATTAAGACTTTAAAAAACTATGATCAGTTATTAATCATGAACATTCAGCGATCAACTAGAAACGTCTTCTAAACGAACAGCAAGGTTATAACTTTAAATTTCAAAATCACAAAGACACGCACAGTTTATATATTATTGCTACTGATCTTGCACGTCGACGGCGGACGTCGAGCCGTGTGTTAAGTTAATTCGTACGGTGGGTATGTGATTTTGGTTCTTACAATAATAGATTGACTTCCTACACAACCTATCTAGAAATCAGTTTTATTAAAATATATTATTTACTAAGTACCTAGAGTAGTCATGCTCTCTTAAAATCTCTGCGGTGGGGTCGTGTGCGTTAGGTCGTTACGTTCTTCTTACGTCGAAATTAAAAAAGCAGCCCTTGCTGAGTTTCTTGGCGATTCTTGTCTGTGCAAGATTCTTAGTTTTTCTAACCATTGGTAAAGCTTTCGATTGTCACAAGTACTATCTAACAGCCTAGACTGAATTGATTTTGATATTTATATTAATATCATTCATTTTGTGGATGCATAATGACACATACAAATACAAGTTGAATTGTTCTCTCCACTTTTTATTCTTCATTCCAAACCTGAATTCGAATGAAACTTACGAGCAATCAATAAAGTTGGTTCATCACTAATGTTGACGTATAAACCAAACATCGTTCCTTTAAACATAACATAATAAGCAACTTACGATAAAAGTAAATTAAAATTAATTTGAAAGTTAGATATTATAAGAAACACAAAACGATGTCATATTTATTAATTTTCGATACTCAATTTACTTTTATTGCGTCAAAAACAAAATTTGAATGAATATCATAAACAAAATTCAAACATCGCGAGTGACATCTAATATGATTTCAAGAACTAATTTTCATTTTTTAAATACTTACTCATTCGTTTGTGTCATCTAACCATATTCAATCGCAGGACAGGCTGAAATTAATCTCCCTAACATTTGCGCAAACTCTCTTAATAGAGAGTTTTAACTACCAATAAAACTTACCTATTATTTTTCCTAAAGATATCCGGAATCCATCTTGAGTCAAGCATCATCCTTTTTGTGACGTTTCCGGTCCAAAACACTACCTCCCCACTTACTTCCGACGCCTGTGCTGCCATCTAGTTTGCGGGTAGCGAACCAATGACTTTTAGGCACGAACGCTTACCGTCATTATACCTACTCTAGATGCACCAGGTAGAACTTACCTGGATTCCGGATATCTTTAGGAAAAATAATAGGTAAGTTTTATTGGTAGTTATCTCCTGGTGAGTGCCATTGGTGACGCTATAATGTGTTGCAGTTATAAAAAGTCAAATGTAGTCTGATGAGAAAAAATAATGCATATTATAAGTATATTATGCTATTACATACATAGTACATATATTATGCTGTTACATAACAATGCAATTATAATAATTATTCAAGTATTTCGGTAATCTAAGCTAAATAAATATTGGCTTATCTGTTATCGGTCAATATCATTAATGAGTTGAATGGAATAATAAAAATGTAAATACATAGATATCGGAATTTTCTTGATTGTCCGATTTATCAGTTTTCGATAGGACTTCCTAAAAGTATGTTCTTGGCGCCAGTTTACAGTTTCAGTAATTTATCCATCGGAAACAGTTCCAGTCAATTTAGAGATGGAACTGCAGATGTAATAGACCCTGTAGAATCTTCTACATTATGTGCTTCTATTTAGCATTTTTGAGAACAGAGTAGTTAACTCGTGAAATTTACTTCTTTTTGGGGCTCTTTCAATACAAAAATTGATCGCGTGTCCGATACATGCAATCGAATGATTTGTGTCAGTTATACATTTCTATCCAGGCTGTCATAATTACTATTATCTGTTTTTAATACAAAATGGGGCCATAAGACAAAAAATCATTTTCGTCCCTATACTTCAAAGGTTAAAAGGGTTAAATAATGGATTTTGCGACCTTGAAGATTGTGAAATTATGCTAAATTTCCAGCAACTTAAATAGAGTCAATTCTGTCAATTTCTACGTAAAATTTCCATTGTACTATATACCTGAAGTCTAATATTATTAGTGCAATGTCTTCCTAACAATTCAATATTGACAGATATATTTATTATTTTATGATCTAGTATCAAGAATGTGTCATAGAAGAGGGTTGTAGTCGCTATTGACCCTCCACCATTACGCCGACGTTTGCAGAATTTCCCTACCGGGCACTTAATATTTGCAGAATTAATACTAGTAGATATTTATAGTCGCTTTACTTTAACTCGATAGTTTCAAGATTTTCTTTCACTTATTTTTTATTTTATTCTGCCCGACTTTTAAATAAGTTTTCTAAATTTCGGGGGATGAACACCTATTGCCATACCTATTGCAGTATTCGCGGAAACAAATCGTCAGCCAAGACACTTTGTCCCATTTTGGAACAATCATAATGTACTTACTTGCCTTGACGCGTACTGGAGTCGACAAAGTATTTGCGGAATCATGTTTGAATAAGTCCAGCTTGCATTTGCACTGATGACGTCATGCGTTATGACCTATTTGCTTGCTCGTCCGTCACATCCATTGTCATGAACCTGGGAATGACGTGTGCTTTTGTCGATGGAATAAGTTCACAGCTGGTGTACATTGTGCTGCTAGATTTAGTATTCAGGCCATGCATAATTTCTGAATCTGCCTTGTTCGTGTCATAACTAAAATAATTTCCTAGATTTGGTCCCCCATCTTTGTTTATGTACGGGAATCAGTACAGTTCTCTTAGCATTTACATCTTGGCATTCCCCGAAATGAAGACTCGCGTGAGTAATTGCCTCGAGTTGAGCACTCAAACAGATTTCTTATGCACCTGTCCTCGGATGTTGAGCGATTTGCGTTGCATTTATTGGAAGGTATCATGATACAACAGTTACTTACCATTTTAAGTCATTCAGTACTGGGTCTGGTAATCCGAATAGGTAGTAATAGTTTTAAGCTGTCGATGTTAGTATTGCAGTGCGCGACAGTGTTATCACCCTGTTCGAATAACAAACGAGGCAAAGTCGAGTCTCCCCATTAGGAACTGGGCCTGTCTGAGGGACTAACCGCCTTGTACAATCTGATGCTGAAATGCCATGCGTAGCGTGAAGCGTTCGGTTCAAACAGTGACTTCGCTGAATGTTCTGTACTGAG